GCGTCTTCTCCGGCAACAGACAGGCTCTCCCCTGGCCACCGGCGGAAGCGCGATTGTCGTCAGGCGGGAATCGGAACGACGAGCGCTCGATGCCATTGCTCATCGCTCACATTGCGGCTACTAGCTTTTCCCCGTTATGCACTCCCACATACACTACTCCTAGCAACATATACTTTGCGAGCGTGATTTTGGACACAGGCGCGGGAGAGCTCTAGCGGCGTTGCTACATTGAGATCTTCTCTGCTCTGGAAGATACGCAGTATCGGCGACTCTCTAGGACACAGGCAGATCTTAAAGCTGCATTGAACCGTTCAACCAACCTCTCTTGAAGTTTCACTCTAGAAGCTCTCGACGTTTTAGTAGAGAAGACCCTTCCCGCCCGCGCACTCGTATTTACGGGTACGGTACGTATTTACGGTGTGTTCTGAGGGCGTTGTTCTTAGCCAAAGAAATTCAAATCGCTGGCAAACCGGCTGGCATCGCTATAACTTTGTTTCCCGGAATCGCAGAGATTTGAAGCCCGCGCTTCCGCGAATTTTGGCTGGACAAAAAATCCAAGCGCGCCCTGGTCACCATAGACGAACGAACCCACGGCCGCGCAGCCGGGTCACTGCGAAGCCCACATTATGGTACGTTTTAACATGAACGGGATATTAATGAACATAGATTGAATCTAACTGTTGATATCGTTAGCTTGTGTTGCTTGATTGAGTTTCGATAGACCTCGTTTATACGAGGATTATTTTTTGTAAACTAGAACTTCTAGTGGTATGCTTTACATCATGGCATCAATATAGAGAGGTTCAAAAAAGTAGTCTAGTCAAAGTGTTGAAAAAGTTTGGTCTATTTTAAAATACCTCAACGCTTACGTCACGTAAAATAATCAATACTCAGAAATAATTCATATTTTTCCAGAATACTGAATCATATTTGTTTAAAAATAGTAATGTTTTCATAAATTAATATATTTTTAATAAATTTTAATAGTAAATTGAAAATTGCTGTGTGTTTTGTTTTGAGAATCTAGTCTGAGCGCATTTATAGACCGCAACAGACTTCAATGCATTGAAACCTTGATATGCGATAAAAATACTAAAAATGGAGTTATCTGAGGAGAAATATTGTAAAAATATATTAAAATGAGGTAAAATGTAAAATTTGTAATAATTAGAAACTTGAAAACTGAAAAAAAATTGGTCTCTAAAAACTTGATATGCTTGACTCTTTTTATGTACTACTCCCGAAAAAAGTTTGTCAAAAAGTCGCCTATTTCCGCTGCTCCAGTACAATTAACTTAACTACTTACGTAGCAAGAGAGTAAAATAATTGGGCGATAATCATTTGATCAAAAAATGAGAAACCTCTTATCAACAACATATTCATATTATTTTTTATAAATATTATTTTGAATGCATTTGTTGGATGCACTATTTGAAACATGTTTCTAGATAACCTCAAAAAATGTCTAATGTGTTAAGCAATAATTTTAGATATGTGTATCTCAACATTGAAATATTAAATTAATGAAAAAATGCAACTGAAACATGTGCTGTACATTTTACACTTTCAGCGTTATTAAAACTGTCCTGCCCCACACTCATCTCATCCGCTCCTACGTTTCTGTTTTCTTTCGATTAGTTTATTTATCGATTCTCTTCTCTTGATTGACATATTGTGCGTTAACTGCCCGTGTTCTCAATTTTTTAACTGTAGTTATATTCATATCCAATACCATTCATATTTTCACAATATCTTAATTTTTTGCATAATTAGTACATATTGGTTTCTACATGCGTTAAATTCAGTTGTGGTCCATAATTTAAATATTTTCGGGACCATTATTGAAATAAATCATTATCCAAATATCAGTTCGAGTAAAAACCGTTTTCAGAACTGTTATCAATGGGCAATGATAAAAATTACATGAATATTTTGTGTGAACTCATGCAAATATATGCTTAGAAGATCGGAATAACTAAGATAATTGCAAATTCTCTTAGATCTTCTATGACTGTGGTGGAAGTACACAAATTATAGGAACGAATTACGTGAATATATGCACTACTAAGGAACATAATAGTAGGAACATAATAGTATACGAAAAAGTAGAAGTATGGTTAAAGCAACGTAACAGGAGCCTTGACTCCTGAAGCTATTTTTAATCCGACCTTCAGATATTTAGCGTTGAAAAACTAAAAAAATATTACATTGATATATTTTACTCATTATTACGAATGAAATAACAGAAAAACCAAAAATTATTTTTTACGTTACACGCGTTCTGGTGTCCTAATACATTATAAAACACCAAACACATGGCATGCTTTTAAGCTAGCCTCTAAACACTTGCGATGTTGCCTTCTCAGACCCTCGTGAACGTACCCTCTGCCAGAGAAGTGATTCCGTTGCCAGAGATGTCGAGGGAGCGCAGGCTCGGGAGATCGTGCGCAAAGACGACCGGGTCTTCCCAGCGCTCGCCCCCTCGCACCCGAACCGCCTCCGCCAGAGACTCGCTGTCAAGGCCTCCCAGAAAGGTAGTCGCCAGAGACATATACGCCGAGCCCAGCTCTATGGAAATGCGCACGGCGTGCTTGAAATACAACTCCAAGGCTTTGGAATCTTCAACATAGCCAACGTTCCACAGTTCTAAAGGACATGTTCTGAAATAGAAAAATTTGAGTCAGAGATTCGAAAAAAAACCGATACTGAAAAACATATTTTTGTAAAATAACCGTCAATCCACCCGTTTGTAGAAGTTGTCATCGTGGTAATAGTAGAAGAATATATACTATTATTAAAATCAGCGGTTGTAACGGTAACAATAGTAATAGTAGTGTTAGCTGAAGTAAATATGACAACAGCCGTTATTTCAGTAGTAGTAAAAGTAATATTGTCGAAGTCGAAGTCGAAGTC